TGCTTTCAATAATAGTATTTATTATTTTTTTTTATTTTTCATCAAAAAACAAATACAATATCTATTCTTCAATAAATAAATTCGTATTAGATGCTACGGTTCTTTTTTTATAATGCTACGGTTCTTTTTTTATATCTTCTACTTCTTATAAACGTGTGCTTTCTTATGTCATATTTCATTTTACAAACCTATCACACAATAAAATTTCCGAAATTTTGTAGTAATTTTAAGAAATTTCGACATCGAAAATACAAAAATTAAAAAGAACTATTCCGAAAATTCAATTTTAAGAATGTTAAATACAAATTCACGACAAAAAATTTATAGAAACTTCAACGAAAATATATCAAAAAAAGATTTAAAAAAGAAATATATCCAATTTTTTACTCGCTCAATATATATACAAGAAATTTATGAAAAGAACCGTATCAAAATTTCAATACTTCGAGACAAATACACAATATCTTTTCAAGAATAAAATTATACAAATCTTTCTATTACGAAGACCAGAAGTAATTTCTCTAAATGTAAGCAATGTTCGAGACTTATTTATTTTTTCTATATTTCTTTATTTTTATATAGAAAAAATCTATTTATTTTAAAAATGGTTCTGTGACTATTTGTCCCTATTTCTATTTCTTAATTTAGTGCGATTATCTATCTTATCTATCTATTGAAAAATATTCCATTTCAAGAATCAAAAATAAATTCAAAAAGAAATTGAAATACGTAGAGATCAAGTAAGAGAATCAAATAAAATAAGAAATTCAAAAAATAAAAAAGAGAATATAACGAAAAAATTAAACAAGTAAAATTTATAGGTTTTCCTTTTTTTGTTTTTCTACATTATCAATCAATTTGATCTCTGGTTCCGGTACTGTCTAAAGTATGTGAGAGCGGTTTTTCTTCTTCTAATGGAACTCGGGTTCTGGAACGAATCACAAGCACAATTATATGAGGCGCTCTTTACTGGGGCCTCATATGACATCTGTGCCAATCAAAGCTAAACCGTTTGAGCTTGCCGTGCTGGGGCACATGGGGCCCTTGTTGTCCAGCGCGGGCCCAAGCTTACGCGACTGTGGCCGCCGGTCCAATCAATGCAAGCACGCCGTGTCTGGTTGGTGAGTTGGTGCCAGTCAGGGAAGGTTTTCGCAACCCTGGCCGCCAATCCAACGCAAACATGCCGTGTCTGGTTGGCTAGTGAGGACCAAAACGGTGATGCCGTAAGGGAGACACAGAGCTGGGACGCCTAAGACCAAAGCAGTCATCAGCGGACTGGAGCTCCACTCCAACTTCCTCCGCTGGGCATCTGCCTTCTGCCGCGGGATCAAGGGAAGCGCGCAGGCACCAAGCAAGGAGGCGCCATAAGTAAACACGTACGACCAAGCTACAGTCGTTCGAAAACTTGGCGTGTCCATGGCGTAGTTCTGTGGTTTGGACAAGGAGGGAGTGAAGAGGCTAGAGACTTGATTGCTTACTGCCGTGGAAACCGGCTGGCTGGAGTGCATGATGGTTCCAACCAAGCCATAACACAAGCCTTCCTGTCCGGGCTCGGAGAGTTCGATGACAATTAGGTTCAAAATCAAGCCTAGAGCTGCAGTGGGCACCGCGCTGGCCATTTCATCACCAAGGAAGAAGTACTGGTTCCGAATCACGTTGAAGACTGCAAAGAAAGATGGGATGGAGTCCATCAGTGTCACTGTCAAGATGGCAACGAAGATCGAACGCCTCCAACATGACTGGAGGAAGTAGACCTTGTATATCCAAACTACAGCGATCATCATGACCATGCCTCCCATCTGGAAGAGCTGTGCCTGCAGGACCTTGACCTCAGCCCAGATACACCGGACCAAGGGCCTTGCGGTGGTGGTAAGCTGGCTCAGGAACTGCGTGATGAAGGCGTAGAGCAAGACGCTTGCGAGGCACTTGCTTCGGATAAGACTCCTAAGTTGTGACAGAGCTTAGGTTTGAGGCCGTCAGGTCACTGGTGGCAGAACAGATGCCTACGTCTCTCATATATTTGATGCAAACCCTGAACCCGCATGGTAAGACTCCTGCGACCGCGTGTTTCATCTTTGCAAAGCCCTCACAGACAAGCTTCCAAGAGTTCTCCACATGGGTTCGGAAGGATGGCCGCTCGACCTTCTTGGACTCGTAGACACACCTTTTGCTTCACTTGCATCTTCCGTGTGATCTCTAGATGTGACTGTGCCACCTACCCATCTGTCTGCCTGTCTGCGTGTCTCTCCTTCTTTCTTTCTTGCATTCTTTCTCTTTGTCATGGCTGTCTCTCTCCCCCTCTCCTGTGTGCTATCTCTCTATCCATCTAATTAGCCATCTATCTAACTACACATCTCTCTATGTACTTACTTGTCTATCTATCTTTCATATCTTTCTATCTTGGAGGCGGAAGACCCTACAGCGATTATTCGGGCGCTAAAGAACTCGCGCCTCACGCAAATCGGCAACATGCATAGGACGATGGCGAAGCACAAGATCATCAAGCCGCTGAAGGATAGACCCCAGTCGAAGGTGCCCAAGTACTCCTTGCGGTTTGAAGCATGTCATAGCCATCCGGCACGCAATTTTGAGGTTTCCCAGGGCCTACAGCAGGAACAGCCTGCAGGGGGGCTCCTTGCTACAACAACTCGTCGATACCCCTTAACATGATTCAAACCAGGTCGTCGTTTTGGATAGGACAGGTCTGTGTTTGTGCTCGGTCCTTGCGGTTCATGAACAACCCGATGACTGCAGAGGACGTGAGCGATCCGGCCATAGTGACCATGGTGAATTCGGCCTTCATCTTGCCACGGCACTGCGGCGCCTCTGCCTAGGGGTCTGGGGTTCAGGTTTGGGGGATCGTCGTGCCTATAATCACCGGCTTGACTGAGCAAATAAGTGAGCCGGCTGCCGGACCAAACAAAGAGCATTGATTCCTAAGTGGATTAAGTAGATGATCACAATGTATGTATACAAGACGGATAGCGTACTTACATAAGGGGAATGAGTACGGTTCTGTTCGTACACACGCAAGGACACTAAGCAGGGTTTGGGGTCCAACGTAAGTCTCTCGAAACCCTGACTATAATCATCGAAGAAACCCTCGAGACTCAGATGAACCCACAAGGTTTACGGATGAGGAAGGGCTCCAGGTCCAGGCCTTAGTCTTGCTATGCTTCTGATTCTGCTGGGGTTCTACTAGGGGATTCTGGCCATGTAACTTGAATAGAAGAGGTGTGTCTGTCTATCTATTAAGGGTCCAGGCGTAGATGTTCGTAGATCGTTTTGTTGTATACAGGTGTGTCGGCGGCCGCCTGGGAGTACTCCAACAACAAGCCCTCCCCGGCCACACATCCCAGCTGGATGCCGGCGACAAGAATGAACATGGGGATGACATACCAGTTCCTTACTTCGGTGAAGGAAGGCGCTGCCCACAGAACCAATCAACTTCAGAACTGCGCATACTACAATCAACTAACCGAAGAGATTCTTCATGGCGTGGATGTCCGGATTGCACGGTGGCGACAGCGTGTCATAGGTGCCATCAGGGTGTTGACAGTAGTAGGGTGCCGGCAGCGGCCTTGTACTCATGGTCAAGAGAGCACCGGCACAGATCAGCCAAGCTGCCAGCAAGTAAGGCTTCCTTGAAGGAGCCGAAAATGATCGGACCCACAACTACAATCTCATAGAAGACTCATGGAAAGGAAATACTACCCACTTAAAACTGCCCAGATTCCTGTTGTATCCAAGGATTGGGATGCAGTCGTTCATCACCCCAAGAGGAAGAAGCAGCACTTGTGGAAGCTGCATGAGGGATGTTACCGACATCATGATGTTCGAATCCAGTCCCATGTAGCCCAGGAAGAACCCGTAGGAAACGCCTGTCCGAGTAGCGTTCCGGAAAATGCTGACGCTTAGTTAGAACCCAACTTGTCCCCGACTTGTGCCCGAGCTTCGTTTCTTTGTTGGCCTCCCTTCCCCACTCCCTTGTAGAACTCTTTCAAAGCGCAAGCAAGACCTTTAGGAGAACCTTCATATTCGTATGAAACCCTGCTGAAACTCTGTAGCAAGCTTCTGCAACCGTTCTGACTGGGTGGGTCCGTGGTTACTAGCTTTCACAAACATGTCAGAGGATGTCGTACGTTATCAGGACCTACAGAGCGATCCTGTCAGGGTTTCGCAATGCTTTTATTTGGGGCTTGATCAGGCAATTCAATGCTATGCACCAGCCTCCTCAAATCTTTCGTCCTGAAGCTCCTAACTCGCCTTTTCAGGCTCTAACTTTTCCTTACTTTTGGGTTCTTTCAAGGCTCTTTCTATAGCGGTCTCACGCAGCCTGTTGAAAGTGTCAAAGGAATTCCATAGAGGCTTGGACAAGCTTATGAGGCGGTCATAGGGGTTGTATAACACTTCTAACTTTCGCTTTCAGGTTCTAGCCTGTCTTTTGTGAGTTTGACTCCAAGGCCTTCGGAACCTACCGGGTTTCACAAGGGTTGCATAAGTGACATTGCCAGGCTATCACAGGGTCTCAGAATAGTCTTAACGGGATTCTATGGTTTCTAACTTCCCCTTCCTTGGGGTGACATAGTTCTTCACTGTTCCAAAACGGCAAATCAGGTTCTGATTCGTCGGTCGAAAGTCCATGCTGAGTACCAGTCGCCCGAGATGTTCTGTCGTTTTATACTTCTTCGTGGCGCTAATCTGTCTGCTTTAACCATGGCCACACAAAGCAGGACACAACAATCGAGTCTAAGTCCAAGCCAATAAGCCTTAAACATCCAGCCTGTGACGGTGGCGTTCAGGAAAGCTAAACAAAATCCCGAGAGTGGCAGGCCACAGGTAGCCAGGGTCCAAAGGCTCACAACCTCTGATGTCCTTGCCGTCCTTGCATGCGCAAATGGGCAGTTCCCAGCCCCAGAATGCCCCCTGGACAGGACCCCCAAACCCCAAAAAGGGGCAGCTATGTTCGATACATGCGCTTTCAAAAAAGGCCATAGGGTCGAAGATGGATTACATCCTGGCATCTGAGCTTCTCTTCGGTAGATTCCCGCGACTCATCCTTCTCACTCGAGGCCGCGTCTGATTCTTCAGTCTCCACATCGGGAATGGTGCACTCAACCAAAGGGTCGCTGAAGATGTAATCCACCAGATCCTGGTTACCGAACTGATCCCTTATCCCGTAAAAAAGAGCATCGTGGGGCCACTCACCACTCGGCGTATTCAGCACTCGGTCATACGAGGACTTCAGGCGCAACGGACAAAACAACAGAGCAAAGCAAGTCTGGCAAAGGCAGCCGCAGACTTGATACGGTTTCAGGATAGCGCGCGGTTGCAGCGTGGGGTTTGCTACAATGGTGCCGGTCGGCTGCATGTCAAGTCTGAACTGGGCGAGAAAAGCTTGGGAGAAGACTGAGAAGCAAGTGGACCTTGTTGCTCATTTGTTTCTGTAGGGTAGCTCAACATTCCCCAAGAACTAAGCAAACACCTGCATACATATATATACATATATATATATATATCGTATATATATCCTTCTTCGTCTGCCGCATATCGTTCTCTAGATGGCCCTAAACCCCAAAGCCTCTAAGAGGCCCCAAGGCCCGAGAATCCTAATGTAGGGGCCTTAATAATTAGAATAGGGTTTTGGGGTATACTATACTATCATCGTAATAAGGAGCCCCCCAAAATAGCATTGGCAATGGAATTTTCTTTGGGCCCCTATATTACATTGGCCAAGGTGCACTCAGGGCTCCTGTCTCCAGGGTATTGATCGTCCGCACGGAAGCCCCCGATCTGACAGGAGCGGGTGTGATCTGCCGCGAGAAATCCTTAGGCTTCTTCTCCATTAACCTATGGGAGCCTTTGGAAGGTACCTGTTGGGGGGGCTTTGTTAAAGCAAAAACTCAAAGGCTACTGCAAGGGTATGTGAGAATCGGTGGAGACTGTCGTTCGCCATGTTTGAAGCCGCACGATAGCAGTGGCAACTGAGGACTGTCGCCAAATATCGGCAACTGATGCAATGGAAGATTCCCGCCAGAAGTCTCTCATCGTCGGCTCCGTCGATATTTCCGGCATAGCTGCCAGCGCGTGCGGGGCCACTTTGGGCTGACGGGATGTGAATTTGATTTCTTGTGCCAAAGGCAACACAGTTCCGAGACATCAACTTATAGCCGAGTCCCGAAAACGCCGCAAAATTTTCGGATCCCTCTCTGGGCTTCGCAGACCGTCCATCAACTCAAACCCCGGACGACCCAAAGCTGACGCCATGGCTGCCGAGCGCCCGTAAGCCGTTAACTTGCCGCAATTGACACCAGTTTCAAAATTTCGCAGTAGGCCCTTCACACTAAGCCCCGTCAGCACAATCATACCTTTGCCAGCATCAGCGGGTCGCCCTTTTCACTCTCTCTTGCTGGCACCTTGACTCAAGTCGATAGAGCAAACCTCTGGCGTCAGTAGTGTCAGGGAACCGAGGTTCAGCACCACCTGCAAGGGCTGCAGATAGAGTCTCGGATCTCTGCATCTTGGGGCGGCCGATCTTGACTTTCAGCGGGAAGTACAAGCCACGGATCTTCACAGAGTCGGGATATTGAATGCTATGGTGTCTGCTTTGTCTGACATTTCGTGCAGAGGTGTTTTCTTGTTCACTGCAGGCCCCACACCGCTCTCAAGTCCAAACCAGGCTCCTGAGTCATGAGTCTGCACACAAGAACAGCCAGAATTGTCTCACAACAACTAGTTGACTCAGCTGATAAGGTCCCACAGCCGGTCTGCGACAGTGGCTCCTGCGGCACATGATATCGGAAGCTTTTCCAAAGCTCTGTCTGCAGTAATCCTGCACCCGTGAATCAGCTGTAGCCTAATCCCTCACTGTCCGATGCCTGCCACTCTCTCCCTGCCGGGAGCAGTGGCTCTTTCCATGGCTGGCGGCCAATCTCGACAATTGCGGCAGATGTCAGCGACAATCTCCGTATGGTGAATCGCATGACTGTTATGCTTGAACGTGCTTAACACCTGTTGAGGCTCGAGCTGCAGGCTTTGCTAAACCCTGTATTTCTACATAGCAACCCTGTGCAGTCCCTCTGTAATCTGTGACATACCTACACCGAGGCTCTCCCAGTGATGATAGCAACTGAAATCGATATGAACTTCACTTGTCGAGACGAAGGGGTTAATGGCTTAGACTCGTCACGGCCCCAACATACCCCGACTGCACTACCCCCTTTACAGCATGACCGTATGGCGACAACTATCACTTGTAGCCCCCATGCACGGCACGTCATGATGGCGCCCATACCACACTGAAGCGTGGCTTCAAGCCTAAACACTCCATTGGCATCCATCAGCTTGAAGCTTTTCCACCAGATTTCAGGATGTTGAGACTGTTCTTGTGGTCTAGGTTTTGTGCTTTCGGCACGCAGCTCGGAAAATCCAGGCGAGGAATGTGTCGGTAGTCAGCTCAGTGAGACTAAAGGGGTCGCAAGTCACGTGCGGCGCAAGAACAACATCCAATATGGTAGCAACGTCATGAGATAGGTCGATTTCCGAGAGAACCTGATTGGGACCTCTGCTGCTACACCCAGGACTACTTCACAGCCTTGAAATCCAAAAGGAGGCCCTTTGTTGAGAAGATGCTGCTTCGGGTCTAGAATCTAGGGGTTTTAATTGTTTTTCAGGGGCTTAGATGTCTACATAGGCATTTCGGTTCTAAGTCTAGTTTTTCGCGAGTGGGGCGTTTACGTCTTGTGTGGCCTTGTGCTGAGCGAAGACTCATGGGTTCAAGGATCTTTTTTACGTTTGCTCGTGTGGGAAGCATGTTTTGGGATCAATTGCTAAGCCTGTCTTGTTCTGCACTCCGCTGCTTCCCTCGCCGCTCCCTGCCTTGTCTCTGAACCCTCACGCCATGCACGAAATGCCCAAACGCAAGGAAGACTTTGGCCCTATCTTCTGCCAACAAAGGAAGATTCTAACCGCCAGTTGTAGTCGTCTTGCTATCACTGTGTAGGTCTCAGCGATTTCCAGACAGGTGCTTGGGGGCGTGTGATTGTGTTTTCGTAGTTGAAGGTGATGAGATGTGTTCGACAGCCTCAAACCTTTCCGTGCAGGAAAGTCGTGGCCTCAAGCCGCCGTGTGTTGCTACCGTGAAGACAAACCAAAAGCCAGATGTAACAAGATAGTAATCACATCTCAAATCTCTGTAGACCTCCTCTCTCTCCCGGGAATGCGGCGACCGGGACCAAGTGTAAGGTGCAACAGTGGTGCGATCGCTTTCTCCGAGCCTCGCGTCCGAAACAAACCGAGCGGCAGCCTGGGCAAGACGCTGCTTCCTGCTGCTCTTCTGGAACTTGCACACCTTGTGAAGACCTCGTGGCAACAAGTAGAAGAACTCGACAAGCGAAGAGAGCGATTCGGCCTGGCTCAAAGTTTTAGTTGAATTCAACCCATTTGGGCAACAAAGGCGAGCAGAAACTCACAAGCTCCACCTCCGAATGAACTGCTCACTCAGGCAGGGGCTGTGGCCTGTGAATCTGCTATGGTCTTTGACGCTGTGTTCGCACAGGCTCTGTGGGATAGCACCATCCTATCAGACAAGATCTGAACACGCCTTCTTCGAAAGCTTGTCCAACGCTGCACTATCCTAGAAGCCGCATGGGCCATTATAGTGGCGATCTGTAGGGAAAGTAGCCTAGCACACAGGTAACTCGGCCTGAAATTTCCTGAAGAAGGGACGAGGACGTCGTTTGTTTAGTATGAAATGCCCACATTCTGTGAACTTATCTGTTGGCCTAACAACGAACTCTAGATACCTGATATACGAGACTGCGGTGTTGGAGGGCTTTATGCTAGAAATGCAGGCCCCTGCATGAAATTCGAATAGACCTTTGTTTATACTATCTTGGTCTCTCTGTCTTTGAGCTCGCGGATTTCGCGTCTCAGCTCGCGCACCTCCTCGTACAGTGCCTGCGATGCTTTGGGAGAGGCGCCGCTTTGCTAGCTTAGACCATGTTGTCTTGGGTTCCGGGTTCGGGCATCTAATTCCAGGTCCCAACTAGACCAGAGTCCCGAGCTCTGCGTCAGGCAGAGCTGCAGAAATTGCAACACCAACGACTTGCTTCCTGAAGCTTGGCTTGGGAGTCTCCCGTCAGAGTGTCTGACCGTTCTAGCTCGTTGAGACAGTGCTGCTGCAGGTCTTGCCCTCTCTACACCTCTCCACGCTGCAGTCTGGCTGCCTTCATGTGCTTGCAAACAGGGTTGGCTTCCATATGACGCTCCAAACCGTCAGCTGGCACTGCGTCCCCACAGAACCTGCAATGGAGCCAGCACGAGAAGGCTTGAGTTGTGGTCAAGCATGGTTTGCTGAAGTTCACTGCCTGGGTCAGCACAGGCTAGTGCCACAAACACATGCAAACATGCACCCTGAACCGTCTTGGCCCTGCATGTGCCGAACTGCGGAACTAAAACATCGAATTCCACGTTGCAAGCATCTCAATGAAGCCCAGCGGCTCACAACTCACCGGCGCAAGCTGCCGCGCAGTGCGGGGTGCACACTCATTGAGGTGACTGTCCTCTGGAGAAAGGGTAGTCTGAAACGGTGTTCCAGCTCACTTGGTGTTCAAAAGTCGAAATCCTGATGATTAGTTCAAGAGGGATGGCCACATCGGGAAGTCTGAACTGGTCAGGTTCAGGAGGGATCGCTGATAGCGTACTGTGCCCGGCAGTACGCTAAGGAGAACCCAGGAAGACAGTCGTCCTTGAAAGTGTCGGCGCAAGTCAGCTGTCACAAGCTTTCCGAAACCAAGCAGTCAAGCGGAGGCTCCTTCTCGCGCAAGCTGAAACACTGCCCACACTTGTTGGGGCAACGCATCATGAGGTTGAGTATGGCCTCGCAAAGACTGCTTGATGTGGGGTCCCTGGCAAGGCGGTACTGTAGCTGGGCGCGATAAGCTGCGATGCCTTGAGAAAGGCCTCGCCCTACCGATGACGCAGCTTACATTCGGACTGGAACCAAGCGTCTCATGGGTTGCCTTTAGTTTTCTCAAACCCCCCCGGACAAATGGGCAAGTCTCCACGATCTGAAGCCGAGCCACTCTGCGATTTGCATAAGCAGGCGCCACATTTGTGCTGCCATCTTGCCGACACACTGGGCACTTCTCGTCTTCTGCCTGCACGGGCACTTTGCCGGAGCATTAGCCAGAAGAACACTGATACTCATAGTAGTAACAGCAGTATTGAGAATGACATAACAAGACTGGCAGAGCTGAGCTGCAAGAAGCAATAATGCAGAAGTCAGGGTTTGCCTGGCACTTGATCCAGCAGGCTTCGCAGAACAACTCTCCGCACCTGAGCTTTCGAGTTCTCGAAGATTTGATGCTTGCAAAGGCAGTGGAAGCTGTGTAGGAATGGGGGCACGTGCTGAGTGGAATCCAGACTCGTGTCGACTTTGAGGTCGTGCTCTTGTACTATCAAGACTTCTACAGATTGCCGATGAACATGTGCAGATAGTCTTCCTCCTGACCGGAGCCCAGAAGCAAATGACGACTGATCCTCTCTAAACGGTTTAGGGGGAAACAGTGGAATCGAAATTCAAAGAAACCCCGACCCACTCGGATGTCGTCTCGTCCGAGCCACTCATGGTTAAGAGCGTCTCGCGCGACACATAGGCAAATGGAACACTTGGCCTTCTGCGCCTCCTGGAGCGGCTTGAAGAAAAAGGGGGAGGCGGCTTTACGAAGACTCAAGTCGGAAAGGTATCATGGGTAGCAGGATCGAGTTGATCTCCAAGCAGGGGGGCATTTCTCGATGCCGTGGCTTGCTGGGGAACAACAGCTGACGGCACACAACACTAGAACCAACCACCTCGATGGCAGCAGCAAGGACGACATCCCACAAGCAGAGAAGCACACTCCTCCGGATTCTCCCAGTCTTCGTCGTAGCCGCAAATCTGGTTGTCAGCAGTGTCGCTGTGCTTGCCTGTTGGCCCCAAGTGACTTCGTGCCCCATTCAAAGGGCCTCAGGCCTCATCAAACATCGCGGAGGCGAACATAGCTCAATACACAGCAATACAACCAATGTAGGTATACATATGTAAATATGTATGTATGTGTATATACAGATAAATATATATATATATATATATATAGGCATATATATACATACATATATATATATGCATATGTTTAAGTATGTATATGTGTACTTATGTACTTAGTTGCTGAGTTCATAAGCACAAAAAAGTGCACACTTTCAGTTTTATAAGGGATCATCTTATCCCAAAAAGCTTAAAGCGTTGTAATTCAGCTACTAAGTATATATGCATATATATATATATATACATGTGAGTGTGTGTATATGTGTATGCATGCATGTATGTATGTATGTATGTATGTATGTATGTATGTAGAACAGACCACACACATAAATGTAAAGCTAACGTATACAGCATATGCACTTCTGATTCTCCGCCGCTGACACTTCCAGAAGAAACCGAGCCCCTACTAAGCCACAAATGGCCCCAAAGCCACAGCGAAACGAACCCACATACCTCAGTAATTGAGTGAGCTGGCGAAGCACGGAAACTTCATGGCACATTGCATGCATCCGTTGCGAGTGTCTCGGCCTACCACTTGGGGAGCTTTCCATCCTGTTCCTATCGCCCGCGTTGCGCAGATGGGGCACCACTCTAGCAACTCTAGCATCGCGGCTCTTCTTCTTGAACCCTCAAGGCCTAAACACTAAATTTGACGTGCCATGTCACCAAAACCATTGCTACTAAAGCCCTCAACGAAGCCAACTTCAGCTGCCCCGCCTGAACGCACTTCGCTGCCAGCTGTCTCGACCACTTCGTGGATTTCGGAGACCGAGGGTGCTGGGCTAAAGTCGTTCTCGGGAGACCTGAAGAGGCGGAAAGCTGCCCTCGCAAGAAGTCTCTGGGCCCCAAAGCTTTCGTCTATAAAATACAGCCATCGAAGGCCATCTACTCAGCTGGGAAGCCTATGAACCTCTTCAGTCTTCACAAAGTGCGGGCGCTCAAATATTCGTAGCCGCTGTCGTTCTCGTTTAGCTGACAGAACCTGGAACCTCACCTTGAAGAAGGGTTCGCCATGTGCACTGTAAGTGCGCAACCGAGGCGAACCTGATTTAACGGTCGATTCTGTCTTTGGCTTTCCCGGGCTCGGCGACCTCTCCGAGTCACCACAGCCTGTCGCGAAGTTTTAGAAAACATCTAAACCAAAATAGACCCAACAGAAGCAAGATCCTCAACGGAAAGACACCCGAACAAGGACCCCCTAATCTCCGAAACCAGGCACACAAGGGATCCTCGACAGAAGAACCCTGAATTTGGCGAAGCCCTCATGTCCGGCAAGCGTCGAGTGGTAGGAGGCCATCGACCAAGGACCGGTTGGTGGTGTCTTGGAGGAGACGTTTGGGTGCCAGTATTGCCAACCCGGCTCCTGTGATGAGCTGCACAGGCTCGCACATCTGTTGGGAAACACCCCTTTTAGCAACTGGCTTCCTAAAAGAAAGGATCCGAAGACAGCTTAAACGCGCCCACAATCCGGCCAAGCTTCGCGCCGATTTCCCAGCTTCCAGTTATCCTCAAAGAATAGGATGCCATCACCCCCATGCCTGGTAGAATTCAGGGATTGGGAGGGTCCTACTCCTCACTTGTCTGCTTCTACTTCTGAAACTACTCCTGCTGCTACCACCAATGGGACTTTGACACTTTGAGTTGGACACCAGTCAGGACGGCTGCTTGGATGACGAGCACGACTAGAACAAACAGATCCGACAACCGAGAGACCGATGGTCACCCCCGTAAAGGCTGGCACATACCATGCAGTGAACACGGCATTGACCGTGCAGGCAAAATCTAGTCTCTCACAGCTCTTGCAACCCAAAACTGGGACGTACTTCGTTACCGTAGAATGCAAGAGGTCAGGCTGTGATGAAGGAGCTGCAGGCGATATCGCGGTCTGTCATTGAAGGTGTCAAACTGCACGTAGTCACCGTTCATGAAGTCGCAAATGCCACCGGCCCCCGATACCCGGAAGGATGTGACCAAGACCAAGTCGTGGGAGTCGTCATGGCCAACTCGGTAGTTGTTTTCATCACCTCCAAGGGGGCGTTGAAATCTCAGACCAACCAACACGGGCTATCGGCTATTGCATCCCGGACAGTGAGATAACTCGTTTTCGCATCCACTACATCTGCCAGCCTGCTTGCTTCATACATTACTGTCTTGGCCTCCACAGCCCTGCAACACCCGGAACTCGAAGACTTAAGTGTGAAAGCCAAAGTTCCCGTGTACCTGGCCCCTTACTGTGGCACAGCCGCAATCCGTGAAGCCCGTGTGCAAGAGCAAGTGCGCAGCGTTCACGTTCTTCGCTGACGACTCTGGGGCTTTGTTCTTCTGGGGCATGAACCTTTCTGAAGTGCTGTTGCCTCTGACTGCGATGCCCCCGAAACCTTAGCCACCGAGGCCTGTGTCCCACAAGACGCCGACCCAGCCAGGTGTTGCGCTCAATCGCTCAATCGTCAGCCCGAAATGACCTGCATACGTGCAGGGTTACGGCTCAGAGGGTCAAAAAGCCAGGTGCATCCGAACTGAGTGCCAGGCTGTTGCTTGCGGCACTAGTTCACAGGCTTCCTGGAATTTGAATTGTTTTCCTTGTTTGCCCAATGTTTTCTGTCCTTGAGTGGCGCTGTGAAGTCAGTTGGTGCAGGCTTTCTGGAATGACAAACTGCCGCAAAGCAAGCAGAACATCCCCCTAAGCAACTAAGCAAATAGCATGGGATACCATGGCCTCCTGCATCGCTCTTGCAAGCAATCCCACTCTTGCCGGCGATGCCTGCACCGCCGTCTTGCTGATTCCAGCACCAGTCTGGACCACGGCGCACGCGCACGGAGAGGCGTGCGCATCTGAGAACTGTGTCTTGTTGACTCTCGTCCTTCCATGTCGGAGATGTTTTGACTTTCCGGAGCTGCAGTCTTGCTACAGGCAGAGGTTCAGCAGAGTGCTGGGTCTTGCCTCGGCTTTTGAACACATTTAACACGGAAGCGCAGGGACCCCAGGTGCGCACAAGACTTGACGGCTTGAACCTGTGCGATCGGAAGCATCTTTATCAGCAGCAACCTCGAAGAAGCTGGCCTCAAGTGTGATGCTGGCGACCACCGGTGGGGGGTCAGCGTCATCAAAGAAATAGCCCTCAGTCGTCCAGTAGCCTTGGCAGTTCTTGGGAATCAACACAGAATTTCTCATGGACCCGAGCGTATATTATGTCATATTAGATTATCGCCTATATTAGAAATAGTGCCACAAACATACTCCGACATTCGACGATAGACTCGAATATGTTATACAGTATAATCTATGAAAGCGTTTCCGTTTTTGGACTATTACTGTGGTATGTTGTAGCACCTTGTCGTCTGTCGAAAGGACTCCTGAATCCCTACAGCGCACCCCGAACCAAGGCAGCACGTTGCCGTAGCAAATCCGGGGTCTCCGGAAAAGCCTATGAGGATTCCGATAAAGGTGGTCCTTGGTAGGGGTCTGTGAATGACGACAAGTGGCCATTAGGCGGCGTCTCGGACGTCGTATCTGGATGCTGATAATACCAGCCTGACACATCCTGAGGAATTTCCACGCTTGCGCTGCGCTTGCTTCCTTATCTAGGTTAGGTGCTCTTCAGCGTGGCATCCTGTTCCAACAAAGGCAAGAAGGCGCACTTTTCATCTTCCTCCAATCTCCAGGTAAACTTGGCCTAAACACATCCACCCAGGCCCCAAGACCTCAACCTCCTCAGGGGTCAAACAAAAGCACCCGAACGGCTTGTGACTCGGCCCGGCGTCATCGCGGTAATTGATCTTCCAGTGCTCGTTGAAGTACACAATGGCGCGGCCATTCACCTGACGTCGGTCTACGGTGTGAGTTCAGGGTTCCCAGAAACCCGCAGTCCAAACCACCCATCGCAGAAGCTGCAACTTAGTCTTGGCTTGTTCCGGTATTGGCATGGCCTCAAGGCCACATCGGCCTGCGGTCGAAGTCGTCTACAGTAGGAGTGGTGCCCGTAGCTATGTCTGCGGCAAAGGATGCCCCGGGCAGTGAATGTTCCGGCAGGGCTGAACCCAAGATCTCTTCATGCTCACTTCGAAAGTCTGGGCTCAAGCCCCTGTGTCAAGCAAAGCTTTGAGTGATCGCACCTGCTGGTACTTCGGCCGTCCATTCAATGAGTCGATCCGGGTGTACAGACCGTTGACGGTGCAGCCAACGCAGCCGGCGCCGGAGACCCAGATTTCCTCTGCCGCGTGTGCATGTTGTGGATTGGGCTTACACTTGAGACAAAGGTGTAGAGTCTGGGAGTCTGGGACCTTGACGCATCGCGTTACCTCCCAAAGTCCTGACGTCTATCCTGAGCCCACGTCCCGAATCTCAAGTTCTCCCTTCAGGCCTGCGTCAACAGCTCGACAGTCACGGAGGGCGGGGGCTCGGCGTTGCCCAAGAAGTAGCCTGCCAGCGATGAAAAGCTCAGAGTCGTCACTTTGGGAGAGTCCGCGACAGCGGCAGCGAATGTGGTTGATGTAGGGTCCTTCATCATCAGAATGGTGTTTCTGGGGTAGACTATATAAAAGTATATACTACAACAATGGTCACCGTTCTTTGAAGGCCTTTCGCTCTGCCGCCTTTCCGAACACACGAAGTTACAAAGAGATGATTAGGGTTTTGGATTTGGGGTTGGGTTTTGAAGTTTTGCTCTCCGACATCGCAAGGTCTTGGGTCCTGTCGGCCTCTGCGATTCCTGCCATGCCACTCGGAATCCTTCTGGCCCATCAAACAGAGTTGATCCAAGTGCAGGTATCCGAAGCAGTGCGCCCAACCTCTTCTTAAAACCCTGAACCCGTAACTCATGAGCGGTTGAGCCTTCCGTGGTCCATTCCCCTGAGGGCGGTGTCTCGGACTTGTCGTCTGGGTGGGCATAGTACCAGCCCGACTCCTCTGTTGCCAAAGCTAGGAAAATGACAAGCTTATGCTTGCTTTCAACCCGGCAGCGCTTGCCTTCGCAAACAGCCTTGCATCGCAACGCGCAAACAACCTGAAGTCAGTACCACAATGGCCCGCTCTTTATCTGCATCCGGGCTCGTCGTCACGATAGTTGATTTTCCAAAGATCTTGGAAGTAGAGAATGGCACGGCCGTTCTGATCAGAAGCAGGCTTTGACGGGCTGCATAATGACTACACTGACTACACTCCGCGCCCACTTGGCTCTCGTGACGGCAGCTTCTGTTCCAAAATGCCTGCAGTTGGTATTTTGGCTTGCCGTTCAAAACACCGACGCATACGTAGACACCTGGGTCGGCAAGAGCAACAGCAAGTGACTGATAAATCCTTCAATGCACATGCATTCCCACATGCTATCTTCTTCAACGCACGAAATGCGAAGAAAGGTGCCATTCACGCAGGAACCGACTCCTCCAGCACCTGGGAGCAAAGCTGTTCCCAGCCCTGAGGAGAGATGATCTAGAAATCAGCACGACACATCAAATATTGCCTTGAATGGACCTTGCTGCCTTCTTTTCGTCGTTCCTGGCTCCTTAAGAGCCCGCCGAGAGCTTCAGCCAAAAGCTTAAGTGTCTTCCCTGCCATGTTATCTTGTGCCCACACTCACTCATGATCTTGTGTAACGTCGACCTCATAAATATAAGTCTCCCGGAATGCAACCAGTGGCACCCGAAACGACGTAGACAGCGGTAGCCATCGTCGGATTGGCTTCGCCCGCTAATTAAGCCTCAAAACGGGCCGAATTCAATGCAAGGCTTTGGGACCGGCAACCAGCTTCTCGTTTTAATCTCGGCCAGGGCGTGTTGAAAGCCTTGGCGTTGAGGAGCGCCAACGGCTTTAGCTTAGACTGCTGACCACGTTACCACGTTGGGTATAAGGGCACACTGGTCATGATCTGTGGGCTCCAAGTTTCAAGATGCAACTTGCGTTCCAGCCTGTGCCGGGGTGTCAGGGGTGTGCTGCTGCCCTTTCGTTCCACTTTCTGTGCATGTTGCTAGGAACTGAAACGGCCGCGGCCACTTTGGCGCCGCAGAGCAGTAGTGGCTGCGAGTCGCGGCGCGGAAACGGAAAGCACCTTTGGATCCCCCGTGCTTTCTCTCTGCATGGCATATACGTGTATCTGTCTACCCGCATGGATAACAGTACGCACTCACATCCACGAGTACCGGAGAGTCAAGAACCGACCGGACACACTGACAACCAAGCACTGCTTTTGTCCTTGTGACTCAGTAAATGAGTGCACTCTGCAAGGTAGGCAGGCACCTACTCTGCCTTCTTTGCGCTCGCTTCAGGCTCCTCATCTTTTCCTTGGCTTCACGTTCGAAGAATCAGGACTTGCAAAGAATGATGCGGGATCCTAACAGATACTAACTCTACCTGTGAGACTCGGAACTCGGACTGCGGACTAGGCAAAGACAGAGCTAAAGCACATGCGTTCAGGACGAGGGTGTGGGAGGTCTCATGAAAGCCCTACTTCTGCAGCTCGGAGCGTATCTACGCTGCGTCAGCCATGTGTCCGAGCAGGACTTTGGCGATCGTCGGCATCAGAATCACCAGGAAAAGAACTGGAGCGATGCCTGCGTCAATAAAGAACGAAAGCCGAGTTCCATAAAACCCGGCCCTAAGTTTGAACCGTAGCCTAAACCCTCAAACCCGAAAGCCCTAAACAGCATGCGCTGGCTTGCTGGCGGTGGATTCGATGCAGAAGCTAAAGCACTCTTTCGGAAAGCTTACTGCAGGGGCCTGAACCTGGGCTACTACGAACATATGAAAGAACACGAATACTAGCACTCGGACCACTCGGACCACGATATTACCGCACTGCCTGTTCCTGCACTTCAAGTGCGTGGCCGGAATCTTCCGCGAAATATGGGACCCCGCCTGTAATAGCAGGATCCTTAACTTACTATCACAACCCCGAGATAGGGAAGGGAACCCTTGTATTTCGGAATCTCCCGAATCGAGACCTCCCCAGAGAATCACGGGGTCGACCGACTCGGCTTCCCTGAGGCCCAGGTAGATGTCCCCGAGCCTTGCCGCTCAGCGGGGTTCGTTTGGGCTTAGGGTTTAGGGATGTAAAGGCTGTCGCTTAACGCTCAGGTTCAGGGAGTCCCTAAGAAGGGGAGGCTCTGCTTAACCTTGACCGGTCCCCAAGTCGCCAGGCGACTTGGGGAAAAACACCGTCTGCTCCCCGGTCACCAGGTTTCAAGCATCGCTCAACATCTGCCCCTTCTGGTGACAAACCCCAAGAAGCCTTTTTCTTGGCTGTTCCCCCTGGAGCTTTCCCCCAAACCTTAGCCAGGCAGCTGAGAGCCCAGGTACGCCTGCGCCGGCACGCCGAGACAGGAGCCAAGCAAGCAGCCTCTTTTTGCACTTTTCTTGGGTTCCTCTATGGCTTCTCTCTTTTAAGGGGCCTTTCTTTGGATTTCTAAGTTTATAGGGTTTAGGGGCGTAAGGTGTTCCTGCTGTCGAAGGGAAGTTGCTCCGAAATCTTGTGGAACAGAGCGTGCGAGTCTTGCAAAACCCATCATACTAATGGCAAAGGACTTCCTCC